CAAACAAATTTTGGCTTCAAAAGGTTTCTTGGTTTTGTAATAGAGTACGCTGGAATTTCTTAGCTTTTGCGTGACGCAACATTTACATGACGGCCGAGAGAGCTGTCATTTAGGTTAAAAAAATGACTTTTTTCGAGGAATTTTGCTATCTAAAAAGTTCAAGTATTAGAAAAAGTATTACTTTAGTTTATGAGTTCCTCTAGGAGTGAATTCACGCTTTTGTAGCAAAACTCGGTAACAGATGTTTGTTTTGGTTTCCGTCCGCCATGTTGGAGCTCATCTGGATGAGCTCCAGCATGGCATCTCCATACAAAGCTCTATAAATTTGGGTAAAACATTTCCTCGGATATCTCGTATACGAACTATTCCTTCGACCCAAATCTTGTCGAGGGTCTTTGTGTATTTACCTCCTTTCATTTCCTAGATTCTGGACTTTATCTGTCGAACGGTTTTGATTTTTATTTTGATCTATTTTGAATGGCGTGACACTGAAAACCAGCAATATTTGGTTTGGTTTTCTTTGCGCTCAAGTCTCTTCTGGAAATTGCTAGACAATGGAGTCGTGAAAAATTTGCAATTTTGACCCTAAAACCTCGGAGTCATGTTAGAATTTTGATATATCGAACGTGGGCTATTAGTACACAGAAGCTATTGTGCAGTAATTCGCAGACCCTCCATACAGCGGTTTCTTATTCTCTAATCAACCAATCCAAATTATCACCTTAAAGTTACTAAAAAAAACTTAAACCAACTAGAAAAAACATATGACCTTATCTTAACGAGATTCTTGCGCATTTTATTAATCAGATAAAGACAAAAGGTTATGACGTCCCCGGTGTTAATTTATTCCCGCCCAAGTTAATGGGCGGCTGGAGATTTCCCCCAAAAAAGGAGTAACCGGTCCCTACTATACTACTGAGCTCCAGTGTCTAGATTATTAGTTCCGGGTTTAAAGCTGTCGGAAGGAGTACTTTAACACGGTGTAAACGTTTTGAGAAAAATGAAAACTTGATAAGAGCAGCCTCACGTTTTAACAAGGGCCTCGAATGAAGAAACATTACGACTTCTGTGAATAAGACCAACAGGCCCTTCGATAACTGCGATAACTACCCGACACGCAGGCATAGCTGATCAAGATCTTAACCTTTCCTTGTAATTTTTTCCCTTGCTTTGCAAGAGCGACTACAAATAAAGTCTAGCCATCATAAAATGGATAGGGTAACGCAAATTTACTTGAATGTTATACTGATGCTGGCAACTTGTAAACTTTTTTTTTTCTGACAGCCCTCTTGTGACATTGTGCTGTACCGAGTCGTAAAACACAACTACTGATTTATTTTGCTGTTGTCATCTACTATCCCTGAGTGTTCGCTATTTCGTTTTCTTCTTTAAATGGGTTGTCTGTGTTTCCCAGCAATTAGAACACACTTACTCATTTTAAAAGCAAAGACTTTTATCACAAAACGCAGTGAGATACGACTGAACTGCAACCACGTTCCTTTCAGTGAATCTCTTTTCATAGAGCGTTGGCAAAAGAAATGATTACATAAGGTAAGGGACAGGAGGGGCTAAGGTAATAATATTTATAATCTCCTGCCAATAAAAGCAAGCTAGCTCTTACCCCTCCTAGCCACGAACAAATTATGACCAACCCCGACTCCTCACTGACATTTGAATGAATTCAGCCCTATTACTGTAACGTTTTAAGACGGCTGCGCAGGGAACATCAGTACCTTAAAACTACCTTCGACAAATCGGTCCATTTCAGGATAGGCCGATTGCGCATAGTCTTATAAATAGTCTTGTCAATAACTGGATGCAGCTCCCGATTATTTGCGTCACCCAGGAGCCCATAACCAGGAGCGAGCAGCTTCTATGTAGTCGTGTCACGGCGTCTTTACTAACCACTCAGAGACTTATTTTTAGAGCAACTTTGGCGCGAGTTTGAAATACCTTACAAGTCCCACAAACCAGACCGCAAAACCTATTAAACAAGGTGAATTGAATTCCAGTAAGACAAAAGGTGAATGTTATCCACATTCACGGAGTAACTCCAAAGGAAGAGTGGATGAAGCAATTCGAGTTAATCACCCATAACCTGCGATCACGAGTTCTTAATTTTCATTTTCGCCTCCCAAAGAGAAAGAGAATAAGGACCGCCTGATCGCAGGTGTTAATAGCCCATTCTCCACCCCATTCACTCCGCAAAAAAAAAAAATGACAACCCAGGAGTGAACAAACAAAATTTAATAAACAGAAGTAATATTGGAGCAAGTAGCTGATAATGTTTGTGTTTTGTATAGGAAGTGTGCATTTATTTACTGAGTCTTTTGTTTCTTGTCTTTTACCTTATTATTCGTCGTTTTTGAGACAAGGCAACTTCTAGTGCCAGTCCCTCCCGAGTCCTGGGTTTTCAAGATGGCGTCGCTTTGTTATTTTCTAGTTTTATTCCATGGTTCAGCACTTTTTGCCATTTCAATATGTAACAGTGGCAGTATTTCGAGCTTTTTGATATTTCTTTTACCTGCTGACCATAGCTGACAGCGAAATAGGGAAGAAAAAGCATGAAGAGGACTTAAAACAAATAAGAAGGGATCGGCCTATTTTCAAGAAAAAGGTTGGCAACAATGACAAATGTCAGTTTTCTAATTTCTTTCTGTTCCAACGAGCCAAAATGATTATTAGTGTTTTGGTAACATGGATGATAGTAGACTGCAATTTGGCTGTCAGATTTTTATTGTCCTTTTAGTTGTGCGCTACAGATCAATTCAAAAACGACCGATTTTTGGTTCGCTTGCAGACACTGAGTTTGGGTTAGGAGAAATAAGAAAGTTTTAGTCTTGCCCGTTGGTACCTAACAACGTTTATGGTTTTCGAAGATAGTCTTGTGTTGTGTTGTGTCGCACACAAAAAATGAACTTCGCTCGTTTAATTTTGAGGAGTTTGTGAGCTTCAGAAAATGGTCAAAATTTGCTTACAAAAATGGCGTCCGAGGGGGTCAAATAAAGTGATGCTAGTATCTCTAATACAAGAGCAGTGCAGAACCTACGTTTATTATATTTGTCCATTACTTCACCTAACCTATCTAGTATGAGCTTATTCGGTTGACCCCCTTCCATTAACATTTTTAACATTTTTCCCGGTTTTCTCAGACAACCGCTCTTAAGAATCATATTTGATGTGGACGTTGCAACTGAAGGACTGACGTGACCCATTTGCCGACAGAAGCCAAGTAAATGGAGTGAAGAAAAAGCCAAGTACATTCACCACTCCGGATTACATTGCGGCAAAAATAGACTTGGCCTCTTTGAAAGGCTCACCCGCGTTGCCTACTATATATCTCAGTAGATTTTCTGTAACGAAAGAGTAGGTAGGTACTTCAAGTAGCGGTAGGTACTTTGGGGAAATAGGCGTAAAACGCATCACCTTGATTATCAAATCATATAAACGAACAGGGAGCTGTCATCGAGTTGTTGATGCACGCAAGAGTTATAAAATACCAAATATAAGCAAAAAAGTTACTCGAACATAACCGAGAGCAACTGGGCAACAAAATACTAGAAGTCTATTTTACAGACATGCCAATACATATTGTATTAAAACACTTTTTTGAAAATGACCGTGAAAAGTTGAAGTCGCTGCCTGTTTTAATCTCCTGATTTTCTTTGTTGTTTAAAAACAATCCACCCCTGCGAAAAATATATGTTGCACCGTTTTACCATTTCATCGAGGGCTCATTTCCCGATCAGCAGCTGTTCTTCGAGCCTATTGGCCTTAAATAGACCCCTACAAAAGCAGACAAAAGTTAACCCCTTTTATTATTCTTTCAAAATATTTCCCCTATTCTGATTGGCTAAAAGCACACGCATAACTCACCTTAACCAGTTACTGATGACCAAATTTGGAAGAATTTTGCGTTTAACGAGGAAATGACGTCAAAAATGCAGCGTACTTGCAGGTTAATGCACCGTTAACCGAGAAGACCTGGGGGCGAGGTTGAGTTGTTTTGGTTGTGAAAACAAAAATAGCGGACGTTTCACTCGTTTCAAGAGTAAGAACTAGGCGAAATTATAGCTCAAAACATAACAAGAACAGCAAGAACACAACTCGAAGGGCGACATCTGCTATTTGGAGAATATTTGCGGAGCTGAACAACCCTAAACGTGCACTATTGAAGGTGAACTTAATATCGATGGAGGTAAGCATGTTTTAGCTTTGTTTTTAAACTAGGAATTATTTTGAATGAATGATAAAACAATTATTGAATTCGGCTTTCGTATCATATGAAGAATTATGGAGATCTCGGCGCGTGTTATCCGCCTCGGCGGATAACACCCTCCTCGATCTCCATAATTCTTCATAAGATACTCAGCCTCATTCATTAATTGTTAAGTAAGAGTCGCCGTTGTGGATGGGTTTAGCTCGAACATCTGTTACTGAGTTTGGAACGAAGGGATGAATTTATCTCTCGAGAAACTCATAAACATGAATAAAAGTAATACATTTCCTAATACATGAACTGTCCTAATACATTTCCTAATACATGAATTATCCCGAAATAGGTCATTTTTTTTAACCTACAAGACAGCTCTCTCGGTCGTCGTGTAAATTCCGCCTCACGCAAAAATTAGAAACTCAAGCGTATTCTATCACAAAACAAAGAATTGAACCCTTTCGTCGCGAAAATTTGTATGAATATTAGTTTCCAGCTGCTGTTATAATTCATGAAAGTAAAATCTCGGTAGGATCGATAGTTTTGCATTTTGAACTTTTGCTGACTTAATGTGAAAACTATGCAACTTTCTGATATTGATCTGGCTTGACTACTCTAACCGTTAATTATTGCAATTAGTTACACCTCATATTTTACTCTTTTGTTTGACACTGAACCCTAACTTAAAATTCGTTTGCTTTCTATTAATGTCTAATGTCTACTCCTTTGTTAGCGAATTGCTGTCGATCACAGGTTCACAACATAGTACACCATTTTACGTACAGGTATGTCTGCGATAATAACAGCCGTATTTAAGGCCACTGTTGGTGTGGTCGTAAATAAAGGCAGAAATGTAATGGCAGACAAGCTAAAAGAGGGTGATGTAGCAGACCAGAAAGTTAGTGACATGATCATCGGTGATATGGAAGACGTCAAGTCAAAGTTAAATGCATTGTCACGAAAGGATCTTGGGGCAGCTGTAGATTCTTTGGAAACAGGACTCAGGTTTTTGAATAACGCAGTCGATGCAGTGCAAAATGACAATCCCTCTAGGGAAGGAGCGAAAAAACCAGAAGGAGACAAAGATGATGATTTTCATGGATTAACTTTGCCATCAGCCAGTTATTCTGGAACCACAGTTATTTTGGATGCGGGAACCAAAAATGTCCAGCTGACGGACTCTGTCAACGAAGTAGCGAAAAGTACGCTCTCTGCTGCAAAAGAGAGATTTAAATTGGCTCGTGAAAAAGCAACAGATGCCTGTAATTCTGAAGCGCTCAGCACGTTCGATCGAATCACAGCCATTGGATATCGTGTAATGGCAGCAATGTTAGAGTCAGCTGCTGAGACCGTAGGAACCGCCGGTGACTTAAGAATCACTTTGAAGAGTGCATTACTTGAGTGCGAACAGTGCCTTCAGAAACTCCACTCCCTTCCAGCTGTTCAGAAAAGTTTTAAAGTCGAGCTTGAGAAGGGTCGACTAAACGTCAGAAGTCGATTTGGCAAAGAGGAACGGAGTGAGATAATTTCCACGGTATGTCAGGTAAATCGCGCCATTTACGATGCGACACTAACAGTTTATGGTGGAGATGTACATGTCTGGGTCTGGCCATATGTTGACACCGGAGAAGATAAAGTTGATCCTCTGCGCGATGGAAGAATTAGAAACGTCATTCGTAAGGTTAATATGGAGCAATGTTGCGTCACACCATAGTCATTTGGTCAGGAGGGTGAAGAGGAGCATAAACTGAAGCGTCCGTATGGTATTGCTACAAACACCAAGGGACAGTTTCTTGTAGCAGACAATGGAGATAAAACCGTCAAGGTGTTTGATAGCAAAGGAAAATTTTATTTCAGTTTTTATTCCCAAGTTAATGTTTATTTATGACATCGCGACTGGAGACGTGGACGACAAGATCTGTCTTCTAGTGGAACTGAACAAGGATGGGGTTGTGGGGTTGGGAAGTGCACGTTTTTAACGAGACCCGTGAGCTACAGCACAAGTTTCCTGTAAGAAGAGGGGAGTGGGACTGGGGCAGAGTAGCATTGAGCAGCAGTAAAGTGCTGGTGTTGATTGATGACGTCGTTGATGTTCATGAGCAGGAAGGAAAGTTTGTTTGCAGCTTTGCCAAAGGAGATTTCAAAATTGCAACAGATATCACTGCTACTTGTGATGGTCATGTCATGATAGTGGGGCCAGGCGAATCCTCTGTTGACTTTACTGTGGAAGGACAACAGCTTGCCAACTTTGATATCAACATCGAGGGAAATCTGTATTATTGCATTGCATGCCACCCGAATGGTGAACACGTCGTCGTTGCTGGTCGTGAACGAGACACACGCCACCTGACGCTGGCTATATAAACTGTAACTGGATTATTTATAAGACGAGTTCACCTGGATGAAGAACTTGATATCATTGGAGGTGGAATAACAGTGACCATGGAGGGTCACATTGCTGTGACTTTTACAGATAGGCATTACAATGGAAAAGTTATTGTGGTTTAAAACTGAAATTACATAGACACTCTCATCGATCTGTATAATTTTTCAGACGAAAAGCGAATTCAATAATGTTTTGTTATTCATTTAAAATAATTCTTACTTTAAAAATATATGCTTCATTACCTTGATCGCCGTTCCTCTTTCCCGCCAAATTCCAGATATAAAATGATGTTTTTATTACAATCAAGCCCACAGAGCTTATCTATATATGCGCATTTATTTTATATTTTTAATAAAAATATTAATGAAAATAACAACAATAACAATAACAATAGTATTAATAATTCCATTTTTCTTGAATGACATCATCGATATAAGGTTGCTGCTCATTATAATTAAAGAGCCCATAGCTGTACTTTTTCTGCACATTTCTACATCAGCGAGGTAGACGTTTCGATAGTTTTTCAGATAACATGATGGAATTAAACTATTAATGGAAAAATCGACGTAGACTTTTGTTGGCTAAGGACGTGTAATTTTGATTGGAATGTTTTAATTAGAGCCCCAAAAGGTACCGGGAATTTCAAGAACGAGCCCGGAAATGTGAGGATAAAAAAAAAAAAAAAAAACGAAGAAGAAGAAGAAGAAAAAGAAAAGGACACTGCGCCTAAATTTATGAAATGATTAAAAACTGAATTCCGAATAGGAGGAACGTAAAGATGGCAACTGGTGATAAACAAACCAGCAGATATATATGCCAAATATTAAACCCGTAAATATCTTATAACTGTGTCAGTTAAAAGCCACAACTGACCTTTGAAAACCAAATTGTGGTCATAAAAGTTGTCATAAAAGTTTTGATCCGTTAAAGCGATTCCCTCGTTTTGCGCTGTGCATCTCTCCCAGCGCATTATGGGGTGCGTCTAGGTTTGCTTTACAGTGATTTAAAGCTATCTGTCTTTCCGTAAACAGCTGTGCAGTATATTGGTTGCCGAGTTCTTCAGGGATCCATCTTAGGCCCCTCGTTATTCTTGACATATATTAATGGACAACATGCATATAATGCGTCAAAGGTTTAGAATTGATATTTTTTTTCCCGATGACATAGAGGACATTACATGGCCGCCTGTTGAAAATATTTCGCGAGTGAGCGCACGAACGAGTGAAATATTTTTTCAACACGAGATGTTATTTTCACACGTGAAGATGTCAAGTTTTCGCGCGAAAGCTCACCTGGTATTTTATTGGTGTTTATATAATAAACTAATCTCCTCTATTTGCATGCTGCTGTATCCTATTTCACATCGACTATTGTGAATTTAGAACAGAAAAATAAACTTATTTTGTTACATTCAATTCGATACAAAACAGATAAAGACTTACGCTTTTTTTAGTAGAAATTACTCTTGTTAAGGAAACTTTTTTTCTAAATAGAATTTTAGATTAGTATAGGTAATAGCATGATTTGTAGTGATACTTGGCATAAATACCACGACTGATATTTCGAAATTGAAATTTGAGGCAATTTTGAAATATCACGAGTGGTATTTATGCCAAATATCACGTACAAATCATGCTATGATTTGTTTATACTCATAGTCGCAAAGGTTTTTTTAATTTTCACATGTAGGTATCTCAAATTAAGCTGAAATACCACTGCTTTAAGTCAATCAAATTGCAGAAATTTCTCATTTAGTAGTATAAACACATTAATTAAAATATTACGGAGAGCATACATACTTTATGCAAGGAAAGTGTTTAAAGCCATGTGTGTAATGTAAAAACCAAACAAATCCTTTTACTGACACTTTAGTAATTGCGTCTACCGTAGGTAACCTCAAAATGTAAATTACACTTCAAAATCGAGAAATGGTTTCGATGCTAACACTGACCCTAAGTTAAGAAATTTTGAATCATGATAGTATCTTGAAATAAGAAAATTTATCATGTATGCATACAAATTCGGATGATACTACGTGATCGTTTCAATGTTTTCATTGGCACGCCAAGCGCATTTGGACACTGGAGGATCGCACACCCTGTATACCATTGGAGGACCAATATAAGATTTGTTCTCTGTAAAGTTCCCAGATGTTTTAAATCTCTTATTGGTGAAATCGGAAAAGACGCTTCATATGTGTGCATCGTCGCCTTTCAAATTTGAGTAAAAACCAAAGAGAATGCCCTACTTTTGGTAATGTTGGAAACAAAATCAGAAAGCCTTACTTATCATATCATAGTACCAATCACAGTAACTTTTGTAACGAGTACTGAGTGCCGTGTAAAAACATATAGAGTTTTCAATATATTTTTTTTATCTATTCGTATTTACATGTACTATTATTATTATTATTATTATTGTATTCATCTTTTCCATTTTTTGTGTAGGTTTAATTAGTTACTAGGGCCCCCAATTATCCCACCCGGCCCGAGCTAAACACCTCGTCACTTAAGTAAATTAAGGTTCTTTCTTATCCCCTTGAAACTGACAGCATGGCTCTTATCATAAAAATTTTTCTTTCTCTCTTTTTTCACCACGTTTTTATTTTTCGCTTAGCGTGTTTTTAACCTTATCTGTAGCATTCTATTTCATTTTGTTATAGGGTCCTTCTCATTACTTTGCATGTTCATCAAAACATGGCTGGGTACGTGACCCTGTTACTCTCCCTAGTACAGCCGTGAGTTACAAAAAAAACGAAGTTTAATGGACGTTTACTCAGTAAATCTGTTTGTCCATACAAGAATTTGTAGAAAAATTTTATATCGTTAAGCTCTCTATCATATTCTTGGGTTGCACGTGACGTCACCAAAAATCAAACTAAGAAACTATCGACTCTTCTAGCTGAATTTCTACTTTCATGGGGTATTACAGTACCTAAACACCTTTACATAAACAAATTTTTGGTTCGAAAGGGTTCTTCGTTTTGCGAGAGAGGACGCTTGAATTTCCCGGCTTTTGCGTGACGCGGCATTTAGCTGGCGGCCGGGAAAGCTCTTATGTGGCTTAAAAACATTACCGATTTTGGGAGATTTTGCAATCTAAACATTCCTTGTCTCAGAATAAATATTACTGTAATCTTTATGAGTTCCTCAAGCGAAGAATTCACGCATTAGTAGGAAAACTCGAAAACAGATGTTTCTGTTGGTATCCGGCGGCCATATTGGTGTTCCTGAAAGGGACACCAACGTGGCGTTTCCACACAAAGCTTTATAAATTTAGGTAAACCGTTTTTCCCAATATCTCACAATTGAAATATTTCACAGACCTGAGTCTTGGCAAGGGTTTTTGTATATTTATCTTTTTTCATTTCCCAGATTCTAGTCCTTCTGTATTGAATGGTTTGCATTTTTATTTTTCATTGCGTGACAGTGCAAGCCGAGAATTAGAGATACTGGTGGTAGGTCCAGTCTAATAAGTCTTTCATTGTAAGACATAATTCTCCGATACGAGACCGCATTATCCATCGTACCGTGTGACGTTGGGCTGTTGACCGGTTTCAAACTTTGCGCAAACACATGCAACAGCCGAGGGTGTGCAAACAAACGCAACATGTATATCTAACAATATTGAAAGTTGTTGGCCAACACTGTTACGTCCGTTATTGCACGAGGTTCTACTGATGAAAAGTTACAACGTCAGTTGAGCAAGAACACTTTGCTGTCTGTCCTCTTCGAATTGGTATCAATCTCGCACTATCCCGCATGAGACTAATCATTTATTGTAAAAAATCTCAAACATCTTTTCATGGGTAATTCAACAACTATAAAGGGCCTCCCAAAGTGGTAAAAGATTCCTTATAACACCTTGTCGAAAACGTCCCCCTTAGCGGCGGAGCCGACTGAGAAGCCGGGCGGCTTTTTCTGAAAAAAAAAAAAACACAAACAAAAGAGGAATTCGAGAAAGCGATTAAAAAAAAAAAAAAAATAGCGGGATGCGGGATGCGGGATACTGCGGGATTTTCGTGAAAAAGGAGCGGGAATACGGGACCAGGACTCCCTTTTCAGTCCCTGAGCCCACGATCCTGATTCCTGCTGCGAAGAAAACATCTGCCGACGCGATCGTGACTGGTTTGCTTTCATATGATGACATTTTCCTGACAGAAGGGTGTTGGGAAAGACACCTCGTGTGAATCATACGTGACAAAATCCGCCGCGCCTAAGCTAATGAAGAAAAGTCTCCTGGAAGGCTCCATACAGTTCCTTATAATGAAATTATAAGGAATTGTATGGAGCTTAATCATGAAAAGACACACAGGCCTTGTACTGTAAGTATCATTTGCGCAGGAGGCACTAAAAAGGAGTATTTATATGCAGGAAAAGTACTCAGTGGAAAGGAATAAAAGTAAAATAAATAGAGGATATTACACGGTGGCGCGAAGATATGAATTTTATTTTCGAGTGGCAAAACAATATTTTACGAACGGGCGCAGCGAGTGAGTAAAATATTGTTTTTGCCACTCGAAAATAAAATTCATATCTTCAAGCCGCCATGTAATGTTCTTTTTATTATATAGATAAAAAGACATCGATAAAATGATAGACTTTTATTCGCCAAAAAGTAACTGTGACGGCTCAGATTTACAGTACAGCAATATAAGACATTGGTTACAATAATCTTGAGAAATAACACTGACCTGAATAGGGCTCTACAATGACAAAATATAAGCAAAACTTTGAAAAATGTGTAAGTAAAATTCAAAAGACGCAAGACGCTTACAAATTTCGAAGGAAAATTACCGAAATTTTGTTATGATAAACTCACGTGTGAGATTATGGAAAATAAGCCACTCGGGTCCCGGATGTAGTTTTTATGAATTTTACGAGTGGTATATTTTCCAGTAAAACACTCGTGTATATAATAAATGGAATAAATATTGCATGACCAGACAAGTCAAGAGCCAAGGAAATTTAAGAAAAAAAAAGGAAAAGAAGAATATTAAGTACATGTATACTAAGTAAACGCGTTAAATATAAACGTAACGAAAAATCAGCCTGTTTATATTATCCTTTTTTTAATAAGGAAACGAGATTAAGATAACCCTTGAGACAGACGGAAATTTTGTTCTCTTTGGTGAGATATCTTGGTAGCCTTAAGTAAAATTCAATTCAGGACGTAAAGAGAAAAATTTGCGTAGAAACGTACTGACAATTTCAGCTGATAAACGTATTTAGACGAATACTGATTTTTGTTGCTGTTGTAAATGTTGTTTGTAATGCGAATTATCCAGCTGCTCAAAGAATATTAATCCGTTAAGAAATATCGAATGAATAATCGGCCATTGACTTTCTTATTCTTGACATCGCAGATACATTTTCAAATTGTGTACTGTCATTATCCGGTTGAATTTCCAAACGTTTATGGGAAACGTAGCTGGTTATTTGACGATGACGTATTCATACATTGTTTTTGAAACATTCTTATTTCATTCGGAAAACAGTGGGTGTATGTTTATGTAGTATTTAAAAATAACAACGAAACCACTATCTCTTGAGATCTAAGAGAACTAGCGTTCCCTGACAGATTTAGTGCCATATCTTACTGTTTTTCAGCTTAAAAGCGAGGCATTGACTGAACCGTTTATCTCAAGAAAGCACTTGTTTCGACAAGTTGGCGAAAAGACCAAGAACCGCTGTCGAGTTTCGTTTGTTACTTTCTTTGACAATAGTGACATCCGCATCCCTCAGGCTGTCAAATTAACCTTTGGTTCGTGCACGTATTACAGCGCTTCTAATAAGAATTTCAAGTCAATATTTGCATTTCTTTGTTTACTTTATGTCCCCTTAGCTTTATTCTACCTGACATACATTTGAACAGATGCCGTAGTGTCTTAATAGTAGGGAGTCGTGCTACTTTCAGCACGATAATTTTACGTCCTCACAACACTCAGGATGGCGTACTCGTTCTTGCGAGAGATTCGATTTTCGCGAGGAAGACGCAAGAAACAACTTAGAGTTTCAGTTATTTATCTCGGAGGCGTGGAAATTCTCTGCCCTCTTGGGGATGGAATATGCGGATCAGTGCAGGAAATATTCGACAATTGCCGAGAAAAACTGAAACAGAACTTGCTTACCAAGCGTATCATGGAGATCAAAGACAACAGCTTTGAGTTGAGGACCGACGGCGAGGCTCAAGAAGCTCACAAAGTTATTTACAATTTCAGGAGAATTATCTACTGCGGTGTTGATGGAAAAAGACCCAAAGTGCTTGTATTTAACTACCACCACGGTCCAGGGGAAGGACGGGAAGTGTATCTGACGCATGCGTTCTTATGTGAAACTAAGAGTTGGGCTAAGAATCTGGCCATCGCAGTCGCAAAATATTTTCATCACTTGAAATACGATGGGGGACAAGACACGAATGGTGTTACAAGCGATTTGCTGAATGAGAACTTGGAAGGTTTTGGTTTAAATCAAGATGACGACGCTGAAGATATTGAACTAGCAAATATTTAAACTATCTGCATGTGGAGTTGACCTTTTAACTTTTTACCCAGAATTCAGAATGAGACAGCTAATATATAGATTTAGCCAGGGCTAAAAGCGAAGCTCCAATTTTAATAAATTTATAATTTAAATCAAACAATAAACTTTTAATCCACAAATCATTTAACTTAAGGGCACATTCATGTGACTTTTGAGGGAAAGGCTAAGTTACTTTAGAGTGAAACATCTTACATCGAATTGATAACCTTATATGTACACCCAAAAAATAGCAAACATCTTCGATCACATTCAAGATCACAGTAGATTAGGCCTCGAAAGCAAATTCTTGGAAAACAAATCACGCCAAATTTTTTTGCGATCGACAGGTTTACTTTACAAATTCTTGCCAACAAATCTGGGGGTGTTTAAACCAACCTTTTATAACTTTTATACACCACATTTGAGGTGAAACAGTACTATTTATCGTACAGAGCTCGGACAGAATGCGGTATTTCGCAATTTTCACTCAGTCAATATTCAGGACGAGCCAAACCGTTCACAAATTTCAGAAAATTTCCAAAATCACCCATACGGCCAGCTGGTTCTCGTTTCTATAGTGCGAGCTGTCAGTGTGGTCGCAGTGTTTGAATGAACTTTAACAGAGTTACGCTTCAACATAATAGCGAATTTATTATTATTTGTTTTGTTATTTAATGGTTTTAGTTATAACGATGTGTAATCTTATAAGGCGTTTGATACGCGCGACATTTTTGAGTACTCCTGCAAGCGATGGTCATGAACGATGAAAACAAACGGCACGGACAAGCGATTAAAATTGCAAGAGAAACTACTAACAATAAAAAAAAGAGATATAATTCCGTGAAACATTTACAGAGACAACAATTTTTATTCACGAAGACAAGTATTAAAGTGTCTCTAAAAATCCTGAGTCTTTAAGCGTAAAGCTTAAGTTTATGTTTTAGCCGGCTTCCCAGCGCGGTGTTTACTGTTTTCGAAGGTGAACTCCTCGAAGCAAGAAAATCGCTCAAAGTTTTCTTTCTACAGCTAAATTTATAACTAAATATCCTTCGGAACGTTTTCTTTCTATTTGTGGTGAGCAAATATATCTGAAGGCTTTTTAAAGTTCTGTAAGCTTATATCAAACCTGATACTAGGTCAGATCATTGACTCAAATCCTGCAAACGTGCATAAACTTGCCGCATAAACTGTCAGCGTGAACTGTGCAAGACTTCATGAAACACAAACATCAAATACAATAATTACTTAGGCTTACCATTCGAGATTCAGTTCCTGAAAGCTATCAAGGGAGGCCACAGTTGCTTGAGACTTTTAAACCTTCTTACGCATTAAGCAAGGTGAAAAACGAAAACGATGCCATCCGAAATCGAATTACCGAATTTTGACAAGCGACGCATTTCTCAACCAAAACCAGTAAACAAACCAGCCATGAATAACAGAAGACTCTTGATAGCAGCTGTATTTCATTTTGTACCTCCAGAGGAAAAAGACAGTTAAAAACATCACAAGTTGACACAAAACTCAGCTTCAGCTGTCAAAGTAAACTACTTTCAAGATGCTGCATACTTTTTCCGCATAAACTCACCTGTCAAACTTTGACCAATCAGAGTATAAAAATTGGACGTAGAGCGTGACCAACGCTTGACCATGGTAAGATAAGGTCTTCCCCGCCTGTACTTTTAAAAAAACTGGATGAATTCTCGCTTCCGAGGTCAGTTTGAAATCAAAATCCTAATAGTGCGGGGCCATAGTGACATAAACACAACATATTTGATATGAATCCTTGGAAAAAATAAACTTGAGCCGATCATTTGAAACTGGTAATTTGTCAGCGGATAACTTTAAAAAATACTCGACCTCGATGGGTCGACACTTGAGCCCGCGGTACGGTCAGGTGATACTTGTCAGCGGATGCCCTGTTTTGATAGCTGTCAATTGATTACCAAACGTGATTACCAAATTTTCTGGGATGGGTAGATTTACTTGGCAATGGGGCTCCGCCCACGCGCGCTTCCGCTACAAATTAAAAAGACGAAGATTTCAATCACATACAGTCGAACCTCCCGTAAGCGACCACCCAAAATACAACGACTGAGTGGTAGTTTACGTGGAGGGTTAACGTTAGATAACATCGAGTGAAGCCAGATTGAACACCTTATGAATTTTACATTATTTCCATAATGAAACGAGACTGGAATGTAGAATGAGGATAGAATAGCTGAAGAAACCAAAACTACAGAGCCCCAGTTATGGAGAGAACACAGTAGAGAGTTAAGCACTGATCTGCAGTGATTAGGGTTAAGCACTGAACTGAAAATGGTTAGCTTTCAAATATTGTAATGGGGTACGGCATAAGAACATGTATATTTTAAAAATTATTGGATTTGGCAGCTAGTCCTCGATGGTGTAGTGGATATGGATGTAGGCTATAAAGCAGTGACCCGGGTTCAAAGCATCACAGTGGATTTTTTCTATTTCATTTTATATTACACAGTAAAGTTGGACTTAAGTTGTTCTTCATGTAATTTTACTGAAAGGAACCAACTGACTTCAGCTGATGTTATCTTATGCTAACCTTACAAGAATCGAACCACAGGAGGTCTCTTCTGAGAAGAGGTCTAGGCACATCTACTTTATGGCAGATAATTTATCGCATGCAATGTCTAAGTTACGACATGTGTAGCTCCATGTTATCTCTAAAGTTGACATCGTAAATCTTAAGTAGCCATTAAGTACACACAGCTAACATAGAGATCGGAGAATGCGTCAAGTGACCCCTTAAAAAACAATGGAAAATCATTAACTGTCAGGCCCAAAAAGTATTCGCGGTTGCTTATATGAGGTGGGAGGTGGTCGTTTACAAGACGTTCCAACTGTAACGCTTTGACTGGGAAAATTTTGGTGTTTTGGATTGGCGGTCGTTGATAGGTTGTGGTCGCTTGCGAGGGAAGGGGGGGGGGGGGGGTCGCCATGGACGAGGTTCGACTGTATTTAATTGGCAACTTACACTGATAAGACCAAGTTTAAAGCGAGCTGTGCATAGACCTATTCGGCTGACTCGATTGTTGTACCCAATTTAAATCTCCCGGCGTTATTCTTTGTTTATTGTATTTGCTTTATAATATGGCATTCACAATTAAACGATATGGAAATTCCTGAAACAAAACGTTTTATTCCCAAAGGGTTTGAATTGGGTACAACATTGAGTTAGCCGAATAGGTCTATTGAGGCCGGTAAAAAGGAAATTGACACCATCGCCTGGTAAACACCTACAGACCTGTAGTACGCGATAAAAACGTCGCGATCAGTAACTAAGTCTGCCTAAGTAACTATCGTGAGACGATAGTTATTTATCGTTAAAGAAAAATTACAGAAAGATGCAGAATTAAAAATTTATTTTAACTTTTCTTTCGAATATTGTTAATGTAGTCAACCATTATGTATATTTCATTGACAGCCAACGTAGAAAACCACGTGCAAAGCGAGCTGTGCGTTGTATTGGGTTCAACGAAAGTGACTGAGAAAAATACTTGTTTATCTTTAACGGATACGGAAACTAAGGCCAGAGATAGAAATCTCCTCAATCTAAACTTTATGCAATGTGATAGGAGTCTGTTTCCTTTTTATTGAAAAGTGAAGCACAGCACTAGTGAGAGTGAGATGTGTACCCAGCTGTGTACGTACCGGCATAAAATAACTTATTAATATTCTTGAAGTTCGCTTAGTTTCTTTCTTTTTTCTAATAAAGAAAGCTTGAAACTGAATACTATTTATTAAAAAACTTCAGACTATACTGCGGAGTACTGAGTAGTTTATTTGCTTGCAACAAAGACGCGATATGCCACTGCACGAGGAGTGTAACTTAATGAAGCTTGTGTTTTGCGTGTCCGTAAAATAATCATAGGTTTATAATGTCACTGTGTGGTAGTATTGTAAAGCTGAAGTCTGCGATGACTCCCTTAAATTTTTTCCAAAAATCGTGAAAGAAAAACAGTTGACTTCTCGATTGTCAATTGTTTTCTTTCAGTGATTAAATATAAATATATAATGAATAAAATTTGCAACGGTTTTCTTTCCTTTGGGCTGGTAATACAACATTTTCTACTGGCAGAATTTTTTTAAAGCTATTTGTGTCGAAAACCGAGCATATCCCACGTTTTATCGAATCTACAGCACCCTTTACATTTGCCGTTCAATTATGTTTTAACCGAGGGCTCTTTGATCTTTATGACAAAGGTGGGAAGATTAGCCACAAAAAAAGACAGACGCGGGACAAGTGGGTTGCGGTAGGGTAACAACGCGAAAACAGCGCCTGCCAGGTTTTTCCTTCAATTAAAAATTTACTTGGGACCCTATATATATCCTTATCTACTGTAAATATTGAACAGTGCTTCATGGCCATTTTCTTTTATTGTATTAATTTTTTTTGTGCTTAGTTTTTTTTTTTCCATTTTCAACAGGAGTTTACGAGCCATTTTATTAAAAAAGCTTTTTCCTTCAGTAACATTTCGGTTTGGCAAGCGACATGATAAACAGCTATGGTGGTGCGTAAAGGTTTAAAAAGTGCTTAATAACGGTCTTAAAAGGTGTCTGTTAGCAAATTTGACGCCAAACGAGTGAACAATGAATTTAGGACGTAATAGTTTCAATAAACGACTAAATTACAGTGTGGTCCGTGGAAAGTTGATTTTAAAAAAGATCAAAAAAATTCTCCTTTACGGCCTAACTATACCTTTAAGTTAACTCAGCTGTCCAAATTACCTAGTGGCCTGTTTTTTTCCTTGTCTCTTCTGATCATCCATTACTTAGATCATTGATTAATGGTGACCCTCCTTATTTTCTCGAAACATCTAAATTTGATAAGCAATTTCCAACAGCTTGCATAAAGCCTTTTCTCTACGGCTACCCTTTGTTATTCTAAAGTTTCTCTTCAGTTCTAGAAAGAGACTTACACGTCG